TTTGACATAAATCATAGCAATATTTTTTGGATCCATCTCCTAGAGTAATGGAAATAAAAGCAAAACTAAACAAATGGGACTTAATCAAACTTAAGAAGTTTCTGCACAGTAAAGGAAACCATTAAAAAAAAACGAAAAGGCAACCTACAAAATGGGAGAAAATATTCGCAAATGATGCAACTGACAAGGGCTTAATTTCCAAAATATATAGCTCATACAACTCAACAACAAAACAACAAACAATCGAAAAATAGGCAGAAGACCTAAGTAGACATTGCTCCAAACAAGACATGCAGATGGCCAATAGACACATGAAAAGATGCTCAACATTGCCAATTATTAGAGAAATGCAAACCAAAACCTCAGTGAGGTACCACCTTGTACCGGTCAGAATGACCATCTTTAAAAATCTGCAAATAACAAATCCTGGAGAGGGTGTGGAGAAAAGGGAACTCCTCACTGTTGGTGGGAACGTAAGTTGATGTAGCCACTATAGAAAACAGTATGGAGGTTCCTCAGAAAACTAAAAATAGAATTACCATATGGTCCAGCAATCCCACTCCTGGGAATATATCTGGAGAAAACCATCATTTGAAAAGGTACATGTACCCCTATATTCATAGCAGCACTGTTTACAGTAGCCAAGATATGGAAATGACCTAAATATCCATTGACAGATGAATGGATAAAGAAGATGTGGTATGTATATACAATGAAATACTACTCAGCCATAAAAAATGAATGAAATAATGCCATTTGCAGCAACATGGATGGACCTAGAGATTATCATGTTAAATGAAGTAAGTGAGACAGAGGAAGAAAAATATCATATGGTATCACTTATATGTGGAATCTAAAAAAAATGTTACAGATGAACTTATTTACAAAACAGAAATAGGCTCACAGACATAGAAAACAAATTTATGGTTACCAAAGGGGAAAGAGGGGGGAGGGATAAATTAGGAGGTTGGGATTAGGAGATACAAAAACTGCTATATATAAAATAGGTAAACAGCAAGGACCTATTGTATAGCACAGGGAACTATGTTCAATGTCTTGTAATAAAGTATAGCGGAAAAGAGTCTGAAAAAGAATATATATATGTAACTGAATCACTTTGCTGTACACCTGAAGCTAATACAACATTGTAAATCAACTATGCACCCATAAAAATTTGTTTTGAAAAATAAAGTCTTAATAGAAGTCTTTGAGAAAAGTTCTAATAATCTTATCTCCTGATAATGCAGGTACTAAGGACCCACATCTCTATATTTCCTTCCATCTTACCTTGCAAACTGGCCAGTTCTTGCCTGAGTAAATGCAGCAAAGAACCACTGACACACACAAATATTGTGGTTCTTTTCATCTACTTTCCCTGAAGTTCTGGGCTTTTTATGGGCACAAGTTCTGTAAGTTAGTGTAGGCAACAGTTTATGGAATGTTTTGCTCCATTATAACCAGGGTCACCATTACCCTAGTAATATCTGTTTCCCTGTTGCCTGCTACCGAGTGACTTAGGCAGTGCCACATATTTTAGGATTTTGTTGTGGCAATACTCTAATTTTGGTATTAATTTCTGGGTTAAGGAAAAGGCTGCTCTAAAGGGATCCAAAAGTAAAATGGCTTAAATGAGAAAAAAGTTTGTTTCTTCCCCAGATAACAGGCCTACTAATTTAGGTGGTAGGGATGCTATATTCCATGAAGGAAATGAAGACACTAGAGGGGTAACTACCAGAATGTTGGATCTGGGGCTCAGATCCTCAGCCTTGTTTTAACCATTGTGCAGTACTTATATATATTTATCTCTTCCTGGTGACTAGTGAGCACTTTGAGGTGTCGGGAACTTAGCTATGCCTTGATCTCTTGCATTTCCTAGCTTATAGTAAGTGTTCAATAAATGTTTGAATGAATGAATACGTGTTTTATATCTGAGTAAGTTAAGGCATAGAGACCTAAGCAAACTTGAGTCACAGGGCTGGAACATGATCTGAACCCTGCACACAAGAATATAGGTGCAGGAGAAGCTGTCTTAGATAAGAGGCTACTTCCATGAAATGGGGCATATCTTATATAAAGGTAGTATCATTTTGATCTCCTTAGGAATAGTTACTGTAAAAATCTTTTGATGTGATTATTAAGGTTTAAAATAACAATTATGGAAGGTGGTAAAGTCTATATCTGTATGATGGAGAGAAGAAAAAAAATGTATGAGGAAGAGAAAATGTGGTCTTTATTCTAACATTTTTAGTACCTAAATAATTATACCAAGGGCAAAAGACTTTTTTAAAATTTAAGCAGTAAATATTTGGAGTGTGAAAAAACTATCCATAGCATATCCAGGCAACCTTTTTCGTCAAAATATTTTAAATAGCTCATAGCATAAGTGTGTATGTATATACATACACATTTCACATATGTGTGTGTGTGTGGATGTGTGTGAAGTTTCAGAAATCACTCCACCAAGGGAAATACATATTTTTAAATTAATTTTTATAGGAGTATTGTTGCTTTACAATGTGTTAATTTCTACTGTACAGCAAAATGAATCAACTATATATATATATATATATATATATATTCCCTCCCTTTCGGACTTCCTTCCCATTTAGGTCACCACAGCACATTAAGAAGAGTTCCCTGTGCTATACAGTAGGTTCTCATTAATTATCTATTTTATACATAGTATCAATAGTGTATATTTGTCAATCCCAATCTCCCAATTCCTCCCACCCCCGCCTTTCCACCCTTGATGTCCATACATTTGTTCTCTACATCTGTGTCTCTATTTCTGTTTTGCAAATAGGTTCATCTATACCATTTTTCTAGATTCCACATATATGCGTTAATATACGATATTTGTTTTTCTCTTTCTGACTTACTTTACTCTGTATGACAGTCTCCATCCACGTCTCTAAAAATGATCCAATTTTGTTCCTTTTATGACCCAGCAATCCCAGTACTGGGCATATACCCAGAGAAAACCATAATTAAAAAAAGATATATGCGCCCCAGTGTTCATAGCAGCACTATTTACAGTATCCAGGACATGGAAGCAACCTAAATGTCCATCGACAGATAAATGGATAAAGAAGATGTGGTACATATATACAATGGACTATTACTCCAGAATTACATAATTTAAAATGGTGAATTTACATCTTAAAAATTAATAAGCTTATACTGTTTTGGGTATTCATGAAGATTGTTTCTGAATCACTGAACTCAGAAAGCACTCCTTTATTATTGTACTTTGAAGTATATACAAGTGAAGCATAACAAAGATATAATAGTTTATATTTGTATGTGAAACTGTTAATGAAAACATCTCTAAAACTTATTCCTAAGGCTTATGGAGGATATGGATCTTTTAGATAAATTGAAAGTACTAAGTAACTAACAAAGCATAGGTTTCCTGAAAATGGACATTTTTATGTCTGCTATTTTGTTTGAGATGTTATTTTTTCTTTCTCATAGGGGGAACAATATTTTTTTAGCAAGAATCAGTAACTGGAAGTACAACATTGGTTATTTAATGATATTAAAATGAAGTTTTGATCAGCAGAGGTAAGAATATGGCATTTAATTCATAATAGATCAAAATACTTGCCAGATTTCTATGAAGAACTATTTTAAGAACTGTGAAGGGTCTGAGAATTTATCCCTCTTGCAAAGTAACAAGTTAGCCTGCTGCAGCACCATGGATGTGGGCAGGAGACATGAGATTCCTGGATCAGAGAAAATCATAGTTTATATGCATGGCAATAGCACTGGCTAGAGTATGATGCCCCCTGCGTAAGAGTAGGTTGAGTTATGGAGAGGACCCCTGAGCTGAGGAGCCCAAATCTCTTATGCCGGACAATGAGCCTGCTGACTTATGCCTCAGGGGAGACTTTATTACATGGCACAGTAAATAGATCTGCGCTTAGTTCCAGTATGAGACACTGTCTCTGACTCCTCAGACTGTGCGAAACATGTCCTTGAAAAATAGTCTGGAATAAAGGCAGTCAGTGTCTCTGCCTGCAAGACATGAAGAAACACAAGACTCTCAGAATTGTCTTTCAACACTCTCTTACTCCAAACTGCTTTTTAAAAGCATGTGTCACTGATAAGGATAATTGTAATAATGCTTTTTTGAAATAGTGTGAAGATGGAAACCACTGAAATACCGAACAGCAGGAGATTGCTTAAATTATAACATTCACAGTATAATAGTTATTAACTAGGTGTTCATAAAAAAAGTGAAATACACAGGTTATAAAATGTACATGTAGTTCGATCCTACTTTTATAGAAATTGTACAAATGTACACACGTATGAAGAATATATACCAAAGTATGTATTTCAATGGATAGAATTGTGAATGGTTTTTTTTTTTTTTTTTGCTTGTCTATTTTTTTTAACCTCTTGAAAATGAACGCTTTAGGCTTTTGTAATGAGGGAAAATTTTTTTTTGAAATTTAAAAATGAACAGTTGCTTAAGAACTTCAGCTGACAGAGAAAAAGCTTCATGAATTTAAATGGAAATTAAAGAATGTTAATTCTTTTGTTTTTACTCTGAAGTTGCCTTTATATGTAATGTAGAACTAGAAGAGAATAATTAGGTAGCATAATTTTTTCTTCAAAAGTTACTGTTTTATCTATGATAAAGTCAGAAGTTACTTTTAGCAATTTGCTGTATTATTTATTATCACATAGTTGTCATGAAGGGAAACAAATCTTAGAAAATGCATTCTAACGGGGCATATCTTCTAGAGTAGTTCTATTTACTAAGTATTTCATTAGTAAGTATATTTAGTAAGTATAGATTCTGGTGCTATATAGTTGGGTCAGGCTAACTTAGGAGCACTGTATTAATTAGCTTCACTTTTATTTCCTGCCTATGTATCATACTCTGAAATATGTTTAATATTAGTGATTTTGTAAGTTGGCATTTTTATTGTGCTTTCATGATTTTTTTTTTCCCTTCTTTAACCAAGGTGCTGTTACCAGATTTGTCTTCTGAGTATAAATTAAAAATGACTGAAGTTCAAGCAATGGTAGAATTCTCCGTGGAGCTAAACAAGTTCTACAATGTGGATTTATTTCAGAGAGGGTTTGTATTTTAATGTGAAAATTGTATATTTTGCATAAGATAAATTGTACAGTTTTCATTTAAATTTAATTACATATTCTTGTTCCACCATATATAAGGAAAACAATGAGCTATATTCAACTATTTTCTCAGAGAAATTTTATTTCTAAATATATATTTGAGTATATTCACATGGATTTAATGATAATGCTGGATATATTTAGCATGTGTTTATGAATTTGTACTGAGCATTGAGAGGATTTTAATGAAAATGTTTGAGATCTAATTTCTGCTTTTTAAAAGCTAACAGTGTGTGGGAAAAATAAAACATATACACAAAACACAAAATGTTGTAGGAACACAAAATGTTGACTCCCCAAAAGGTATATATAGAAAGTGCTCCGGGAATCAGAAGAGAAAAATATCTTTCTGGGCTCGTACGTTAGGAAAAGCATAATGGAGGGATAGGATCAAGGTATGGATAAGATTGATAGGCAGAGGATAAGGTGAAAGACCCTCTTAGTAGGAGAGTGCATCATGAATCAAGTCTCGGAAACAGGGATGAACAGGTTATTTTAAAGAGTAGTAGGAGGTTGGATATTCTCTAGTAGAGTTGTGAAAAGATAGTAAAGAGAGGAGAGGTTATGTTTGTGAAGGGCTTTTGATGTCCGGAGGGATTTGGGTAGCCATTGATGGTTTCCAAGGAAGGATGAAACTGTCACTGTTATTACAATCAGCACTTACTGACATGATGAAGAGCATGGTGATATTGGATGGATGGTCGTGTAGAAGAAATAGAGGCGCAGGGAGCAGTGTGGAGGTGCTCACGATGTCTCAGGATACAAACCTGAATTCCTGTGCTGGCAGTGGTAGCGGTGGGGCTGTGACCAACTGGGGTAGGATGAGAGAAATCTTCTGTTGTTTGTCTGTCTGTCTTGGCTTTGCCATCTTGTTGAAAAAAACAAACAGCTCTGCTCTGCTCTGCTCCACGTGGTCTCTCAGGACAGCCTGGGCTTGTTCTCATGGCAGAGGCAGGAGTCCAAGAAAGAGAGCAGAAGCTGCAGGATCCCTTGTATTGGCACACTTGTTTCCTCACTGCATTCTGCTGACTAAGCAAGTTACAAGGCCAAGCCAGGTCTGGGCTGGGGGCTGTTTGGCCGGTGAAACTCACTGTAAAACTTTATGGGGATTCTGTATGTCTGATATAGTCCATTCCATGCTCTGAAACCCACACCCACAATTGTTTATTGAGACACGACTACTCTCTCAATGAATCACTACTATTTGGAGGTCAGAATTCTGTGGGATCACGCCCTTTAACTTCCTAAAAGCCTTTTTGTCAAGCTGAGGATGTCTACTTAGACACTGCCCTTAACTCCTTTGGAGATCTAAGAAAGGGATTTACAGCCACTCCCTTGATTAGATCTTTGTAAGCAGTTTTCTTTTCCTCCCCAGGAAGTCTTGGTTCCTCTAGATTCTGCTTGTAAAATGATCAGGTCTTTCTTTAGCTCATCTCTTTCTTGCAAAACCTTACTACCCTTGCTAGGAGCAACCAGGTGACATTTCCAATATTCTGCCAGGAAATTAGTTTGCTCGAGTCCAAAAGTTTCTTGGGTACAGTGTCTGACTTCTTCTAAGTTATTGTTTGAAAGCATACTGACCAAAAGTTCATCACTACAAAACATGGGTCACTGTTTTTTAAGTCTCCTATAGTTTCCGCATTATTTTTTTTGCTTCTGTAATTGTAACTAACCGTTACTTTGGTCCCAAAGTCAGTGCCACATATTTTAAGTTTCCTTAGTACCCATTTTCATATTAGTTATTTATTGCCACAGTAATACAGCTGACAACAAACACAAAGCCTCAGTGGCATCACAGCAGTAAGCATTTATTTTTGCTCACAGATCTGTTGATCAGCTGAAAGATTCTGCTGATCTGGGCTGGCCTGGTTCATCTTGGCTGGGCTCATGAATTCACAGTCAGCTGGCAGGGTGCTACCTGGTGCAGAATGGCCCCACCTGGGTGCACTCAGCTCTGCTTTATCATCTCTCATCCTCCAGCTTATTGTCATAGAGGAGGCAGGGATCCAAAGAGAGAGAAAGAAACTGTACAAGAAGACATTTTAAGACCTAGGCTTGGAACTAGCTCACTGTTACCTCTGCCACATTGTACTGCCCGAAACAAGCCGTAAGGCCAGCCCAGATTCAAGGGATGGGGAACTACACTCCACTTCTTAATGGGAGTCTCATTGAGAGAGTGTGGATACAGGGGTGGAGGAAGAAATTGAGGACATTTTAAAGTCAGTCTACCACACACTTTAGCATCTTTTGGTTTTTGTTATTAATTTCTGTGAGGTATTTTGGGGAATAAAGAGTAGGATTTAATGAGTAACTCCATGTGGAGGATGATGCAGAGACAGAAAAAGCATTAAAAAATATGTGTGTGGAGGGTGAATTTACATGATCTCTAGGATTACCTTGAAATAGCTCAGCAAAGAAAAAAATGAATATATGAATCAAATATGGCAAAATCTTTTTCACAGATGAAAAATGGGCAGTGGGATATGGGTGCACTGTTCTACTTTTTGCAAATTTAGAATTTTTAAAAATAAGAAATTTAAAAAGATAATGCTGAAGTTTCAAATCACACTGACTTGGACAATATTAGTGATATTGAAATAAACAATGAAGTTGAAGGGGGCCATGGTGTGGGACTCAGAATTGGTTCATTTCCATATGTTGAGTTTGAGGTAAGATACCAAGTGGAGATAGTTGATAAATAATTGGAGGTTTGGAACTGGAGATAAGGACTAAGTGAACTGTTGTTCCATTTTATTGTCAGCCATGTATGATTGCTGCTTTCATTAATTTTCTGTTATTCTACAATCTAGTTCCCACATCCATTGAGGACTTTTGCAGAATATTGTTATGTAACTGATCTTTCTAAAATCGAATAATTAGAGGCTCATTGTCTTTAGATATATTGCTTGACTTGTTTATTTGTAAGAATATTTTCAAGGATATAATTTACTCTTTTCTATTCTGATTTATCAGTTCCTGCCTTTTAAACCTTTTCTTTATGCTTCTTATTGAGTCTTTACTACCTTTGCCATAAGCAAGTTAATTTAGAGCTTGTGTTTGGCTGTTATGTTAAATAACTGTCAGCTTTGATAGATAAACAGATAAATTTATCTAAATTTATATTTAAATGTTAGGAAATAGAATATATCTTTTCCAATTTATTTTCTGATTTATGAAATGTCTGTTTAGGAGACTGAGATGAGAAACTTACAAATTCAGGTAATGAAATGCAGGCAGAACTCAGAGAGGCTGCATGTTCAGCTCCTGACCACTGCAGTAAAGTGGGTATTGCAGTAGTCACATGAAGTTTTTGGTTGCTCAGTGCATATAAAAGTGATGTTTATACTAAACTGTAGTCTGTTAAGTGTGCAATAGCATTATGTCTAAAAACACAATGTACATACCTTAAGTAAAAAATACCTTAATGCTAGAAAGTGCAACAGTAACATCAAAGATCACCAATCATAGATCACCATAGCAAACATAATAACAGTGAAAATGAAATATTGCAAAAATTACCCAAATGTGACGCAGAGACACGAAGTGAGCAAATGCTGCTGGGGAAAATGGCACCGTTAGGCTTGCTTGGCCCAGGGTTGGCACAGACCTTCAATTTGTAAAGAAACACATCATGTGCGAGGTGTAATAAAGTGAAGTGTAATAAAACAAGGTCTGCCTGTAGTCCTGTGCAGTATTTTACTTCAGTGTTTTTAAAATAACATCAATAAATATCTTACTGCATAGCACTAAGTCATAGCCCAGCAGGAACTAATGGAGGTGGAGTATATGAGGAAGCACTTCTTGTGTACGTTTGGTGATGGCCCTTGTCCTACGCGTCCACAGTGTTTAGTGTTTAATTTTGCCACTGTTGTTGTTACACGATAAGGGACCGACTAGGCAGGGCCTAAGCTGTAGGCAGGCTCAGAAGAGAGAGAACATGTGGCATCTGAGTAGGTCTGTTTTTACTATAATTACATTGTTTTTCCTTAATGGTAAACCAATAGCCCAGATACTATCAATCTAAAGAAAAACTAGCTGTATTTTCATTTTAACCTATTCTGTCTTTTTTTAAGTATGGTAGATTGTAAACTGTGAAAAGAAAATTGAGACTCTACAGCATTGATTATGAATTTGATGTTATTAAATGGTATGTGGGCATATGTCTTATATAAATGAGAGATATAAGAACTCAGTGTAACTAACTTGTTTTGAGTTGTTTATTATACTAGAAGTACATGATTACAAGTTGGTGGACTTCCCAATTGACTATTCAAAATTCGTTTATCAAGAGGACTCCAAAGGGGGAGGAGAGATCGCCTTTTAAATATACAGGGAAAAATATTATTTAAACACCTGTTCTCAACAGCATAAAGGATAAGAGAGTGGGATTAAATTGAAGCTGTAGCAATTTCAGTTAGGTATTAAACTGGAGGGGAAATTTCCTCTCTTTGGAGACCATTGCAAAATTATGAGAACATCTTTTTCTGGAATTCTTTAGGATATTGCTATTGAGTACTCATCTGCATACAGTTTGTTACTAATTCAAGAAGAGGTGAGGCACTTTCGCCAGAATGTAGATTAATGCACTGCTTTCTTCAGTGAGAAACTCTTGCTAGGAAGGAAAAAAAAAAAAAGACTAGTTAAAACAGTGTGTTCTGAGATGGAGTCGGTTTGCTTTATTTCACTGCAGGTTGGTAACATGTCACAGAGATGCGCCAGTGTACGTACCACAGTTTAAAAAACACAGCTTTAGAATATCAGTGAATGGCTTCTAGAATGGAGTTGAGTTTAATTCATTTCAGAAGGAAGCAAATGGACTAACGTTAGGTATTCTCAAATATTTAGAAAGTGTGGGAACTTGGGCAAAGTGCTGTATGTTTTAACATTCTTTTGTAAAGCAAGTGAAATGTTATCAGTTTGATTTGTCTCCAGGTGTGTTTG